TGGGTGTTATATCGAAACCGTGAATGCCGTTATACTGTAAAACTGCTCGATCCGGAGCTGCTGAACCCTAAACCCTAAACCCTAAACCCCTAAACCCTAAACCCTAAACCCTGAACCCTATACCCGCAACCCTGCACCGAAACTGCCGAGCATAGTCCCAGAGACTCCAAAACCCCTTGATTGAGGAATATACCTTAAATCATAGTAGGGTTCCTATTCTAATTTAAGGTATATTCCTGAATGAAGGGGTTTTGGAGTCTCTGGGTACCCGCAACCCTACACCGAAACTGCCGAACATAGTGGTGAGCTGAGCGTCGGCCTCGTCCAAAGATCCAAGTACCCCAAAAATCGGCTGAGGGGCTCGTTAGGGTTTAGGGTTTAGGGTTTAGGGTTTAGGGTTCAGGGTTTAGGGTTTAGGGTTTAGGGTTTAGGGTTTAGGGTTTAGGGTTTAGGGTTGTTTATACTCCCAGAGGTTACATCGAGACCTGAACAAATACATAGAATGTGGGCTTAGGGGTCTAGTACTTCCACCTTACAAAAAATGTAACAAACCCCATATAAGACCTTTATAAAGGCCCTACTGAAATCCTGACTTGATGGTCCGGGCGGCCACTTGCTGTAGTCTACGTGGAAGTCATGCACTGCAGCCTTCGCGACTTGCCAGAACCATGTCAGGGGTGCAGGGTTTACATGTCAACCCTAAACCCGAAACCCTAAACCCTAAATTAGCCTAAACCCTAAGGGCAGCAGCCGATGGGCCGAAGTAAATCCTTGAGACAATCCTTTGCTTGAAGGGCTTGTACATTCGGAGCCCCGTAGTACTCATCAAAGGCAGTCGTTCATGCATGAGGGGTCTAAAGGACCCTGTACCCCAAAGGCGATCATGATCTCTTTGGGTTTAAGGGTTTGCCCTAGTCAGCAGAAATCCCCCAACAAGCACGCAGGAACAGTAGAGAAGAACTACCTAGGGTTTAAGGTTTAGGGCTTACGGTTTAGAGTTTAAGGTTTGAGGTTTAGGGTTTAGGGTTTTATGATTTAGTTTGGGCTTCGGGTTTTGGGACTTCGGGATTATGCGGTTTATGACATTGTGATTTTCAGGTTATGCTTGAGCGCTTGAGGCTTATGATTTTGGCTATGTATAGTATATATAGGGCTTGGGGGGATGTAAGGTTCAGAGTTGCAGATTCAGGGTTTAAGGTTTAGGGTTTAGGGTTTAGAATAGGTTTCGGGTTTACGGTTTATGATTTGGGGTTTAGGGTTTTAGATAGGTTTTGTTTCTGGGGTTTAAGCTCTAGGCCGTGAGCGTGTGGCCGTACGGCTTAATCCCTAAACCCTAAACCCTAAACCCTAAACCCTAAAACCCTAAACCCAAAACCCTAAACCCTAATAGGCTGTAGGGTTTTGGAACTCGTGAGTTTTGTGGATTGGGTTCTGGGGTTTAGGGCAAGGTGGCTTCTGCATCAGGGCTCCGAAACCGTGAAACCCCAAGCCCTATAAACCCTAAACCCTACACCCTGAAACCCCAAACCCTATAATTTATTGAACCCCAAACCCTAAACACTAAACCCGAAGCCCTACATAAATTTGTTCAGGCTCCAGCTGGTTTTGACCTGGGGAATCGTAACTAGAGCTGCATCCCGGCAGCCTCGAGCGATCTTTGGGATGTAGGGGTTTGAGGCTTCAGGGTTTGCTTTAATTAGAGTTTAGGGTTTGGTGTTTAGGGTTTTACCTATCGTCTCCGTTGTAGTTCCGTTTTTTTGAGTTTATATGACCAGTTGTATAGTACGGATCCTAAAAGGTAACCCCCAAAAAGGAAGTAGAATGGAGACTATAAACCCGTCACCGCAACGCCTCCGACAGGGTATAGAGCTTCAACGCCCCGTGGCGCAGCAGCACCGTGTCCAGCAGGGAGGGCTGGCGCATTCGGGGGGGGATGGGCGCTTGATAATAAGGGTTTAGGGCTTTGGGTTTGGGTCTAGGGTTTAGGGGTTTTGGGTTTGGGGTTTAGGGTTGTAGGTTTAGGGGGGTTGTAGGTTTACGGGCCGCTTGAGAAGCATCAGGTGTCATGTCATGGGTTCAAAGGCTGCGAGTTTAAAGTATAGGGCTTAGAGAGATTAGTTTAGGGTTTAGGGTTTAGGGTTCAGGGGCGTTTAGTTTCGGCGTTCAGGGTTTAGGGATGTTAAAGCTATGCTAGCGGGTCCAGGGATTAGAGCGGTATAGGGTTCAGGAAGTGGGCGCGGGGATTAGATAGGCTTACCCATACGCCCCACAATAGTTCCTTTTGGGGGTTACCTTATAGGATTCTATATTATGAACTCCAAAAGGATCTACTTTAGGGCCTATGGGTACTTAGAGGCCCAGGAATCTTTTAGAAGTGACCGTACTTTTCACCCCCACAAGTATGGCCTGCTTGCTTAGCATTGAATCTCGATGGGTGTGGGGCTTAGGAAACCTAAAACCCTAAACACCGGCTCGGGTTTGTGGGCAAAACTGGCTACAATGTGGGGCCCAAGATCTATCTGTGAGATGGCCTTGGGAGTTATGAGAACATAGAGGACCCCCCGAAACCAAAAACCATCAACCCCTAAGCCGAAACGCCAAACCTCAGCGCCAAGCCCTCCAAACTAACCTTGAAACATCTTAATTGAAACCAAAAACCTCACCATAAACCCTAAACCCTAAACCCTATTATTATAAACCCTGTAAGCCCTATAAACCCTATAAAGCCGAAGCAGGGCCCCAGACCAAGGTGGACCTCGGCCGGCGCGTGCGTGGCGGCGGTGAACTCGCTTCCCATGGCTCGCAAGAGAGCCTGGCATCTGGCTCCCGGGCGGCTTTGGGCTTTATGGGACCCTGGGTTAGGGTTTAGGGTTTAGGGTTTAGGGTTTAGGGTTTAGGGTTTAGGGGGTTTAGGGTTTAGGGAGCGGCTTTGATGGGAGCTAGGATTGGATATAGACCCTCTCAATAAGGTCCTTAAGAGGGCCAGAAGTAGGGTTCACGGGAGCGGCTTGGAGCTTTTATGTGACCCTGGGTTAGGGTTTAGGGTTTAGGGTTTAGGGTTTAGGGTTTAGGGTTTAGGGTTTAGGGTTTAGGGTTTAGTGTGTGTCTGTGCGGAAAACTGCACGCTTTTGGTGGTTTAGGGCTCACCTTCTGCTTCGGGTTTGCTGGGCTTTCCGCTCTGTGCAACAGGGTTCTGTAGGATTCTATAGTTTGGAGGTTGGGGCTGCCGAGTGGCCTAGACAAGTGCAACATTCGTTGCCCCAAGTCTCAGACAATCCGGCTCCCAAAGCCAAAAATCTCGTAATGTAGGGGCCTTAATACGTACAATAGGGTTTTGAGCTCCTTTATAGTATTATATACTATAATTATAAGGAACCCTAACAGTAATATTGGTATTTATTTAGGCTTCTATTATATAGTAGCTCCAAATCCTACTCCCTGCGAGGCTCAGGGGACATAGTAAGCAGGTCATCAATAGGGTGACAATTAGGATAACTGGGTCCTTACAACTAATAGGGCCACAAATTTGCAAGCGATCCTCGAACTCGCCGAACTTTCATCGTTCTCCCTGAGGCAGCCCCAACACAAGCACAACCCAAAGAACCACGAGAAATCCTCCGGACACGATCGTCCAGCCAAGGTACGGCCTTCCCATGGCCACTTGGACATTTTGGCCACGCAATCTTTGTACCACAATTTGTTTGAGTCGGGGTTGTTGCGACTGCATGCTGCTGCAAGAAGCGACATCACAGAATCTGGGATGTCATCCCAGGCTGGGACGTCAACTGACGCTGCTATGAGGTCTTCTTTTTCAGCAAATTCGAGTTCCTGGATCATGTGCATCCAGATTGGTAGTCCTGATTGGCCAAGCAGGGATTGCAGAAAGCTTTCTGCATAATGTTCGAGCCCTTGGGAGTAGAAGAAATCCAGGAGTGCTGGATCCAGCATTGTGAGAGTACTAGGGATCGATGATCTTCTTCCTCTAGCTTCACAGATCCCCGGGCCCGACGTAATATCGGGGCCTTAATAATTACAGTAGGGTTGTGGGGGCTCCTGAATCTAATGATAATAATATACCCCAAAACCCTGTTCTAATCACTAAGGCCCCTATATTGCGGCAGGATACCAGCATCCTACTTCCTAGGTCCCTTCATCGTGCAAGTAAACTCTACGCCCACCCTAAACCCTGAACCCATTAGAATAGGCTATGAATATACTAAGCAACCCCCAAAACATCCCAAAACAGTATAGGAAATTATTTAGGCCCCTATATTATTCTGCAAACCCCGTAAATTATAGTTTTGGCCAGGACACGGTTGTGAACCTCCGTATCTGTGGGTTGTTTTAAATGTAGGGAAAGGCAGGGAGGCAAAGAGGCAGTGCCCTGTAGACTTTCAAAGCTTGAAGAGGAATCCCTTAGTTTAGGGTTTGGGTTTAGGGTTTAGGGATCTGTCGTTCCTTCTTACGGGACCCCTGAAATCGGCTGAGGGACCCTATGAATTTCTCATAAACCACCACCAAGCAAAACTCCTACTGACTTTGCAATAGCTCTGAACAAGCACTATATGTCGGCGATGAACACCTGAACAAGCCTCGTAAACCAATAGAAGTTCGTATGAGACCCCCCAAACCCAAACCCTAAACCCTCAACCCTAAACCCCAAATCCTAAACCCTCAACCCTAAACCGCCGTTCTACATCGAAGCCGGACCTCTTCCGTCATCTTGTCATCGTCGATGGGAAGCTGCTTTAAGTCAGACAGCTTGCCTAAGCGACAAGGCTTTCACAGGTAAACTAGGTTGTACCCATAGGCCCCGTGGTAGTTCCGTTTTGGGGTTACCTTATAGGATTCTATATATGAACCCCAAAAAGGAACTACTTTAGGGCCTATGGGTAGTCTTCTTGTCCTAAAAAGTACTTATGAATCTGTACCTCTATAGGAACCACAAGGGAAATCCTAAAGTCCCCCAAGATGCCACCTAGTAAACCCAAACTCACTAACTAAGGTTAGGTTAGGTTAGGTTAGGTTAGGTTAGGTTAGGTTAGGTTAGGTTAGGTTAGGTTAGGCTAGGTTAGGTTAGTTTAGTTTCATAGTTATTTGGGTATTTGTCAAAATTATGGTCCCTTTTGAGGGGTACCCTAAAGAATAGGTGCCGTAATATAATAAGGACCCAAAAACCCTAAACCCTAAACCCTAAACCCTAAAGGACCCAAAAAAGGACCATAATT